TTATTCTTGTTCGAAGTTTACACGATATTTGTCAATGTATATTGTTTATTTACTTTGATCGAAATCAAAAGCACATACTTGACCAGGTGGTTTAGTACCAAATTTAGCTTTTGTTATTACATTGGTTTTTGTTATTATTTCACTACCTAAATGTTGAAGTTTTTCATCAGTAGAAATTTTATATATTTGTGACATAATAGAATCGAGTTTTTCTGCTGCATAATGTTGTTCTTCTTGAACAATTTTTGTTTTAATAATATTAGCTTGTTCATTAACTTTAATTATTTTTGATTGTGATCTTTCTATAATATGTTCTCGATAGATTTCTAATTGATCTTGTAAATCAATTAATTCTTTTGTTTTCATTTCATTTAATTTAGAAATATATTCTTGTAATAATTTTTGATAATTTTCATCTTGTTGTATTTCTTGTTGTTTAGCATATTCTAATAAATGTTGTTGTTCTTGTTGAGTTTCATTACGAATATATGAAAGTAATGATTCAGTTTCATTTGATATTTTTTCTGTTCGATATTTTATTTTTTCATCTAATTGTGTATGAATTTGATTTAGATTATTCATAAGTTCATCAATTTGTTCCGATGAAGATAAATTAATACAAGAATGTAGTTGAGTATCTACTGTTGATTCAACATGAATTGAATCAAATCTAGCCGAAGTCTTTTTATTTCCTTTATTATTGAATGATTCTTTTTGATGATAATTAAATTTATTTAAATTAGATTTTATGGATTGTTGAAATATTGATGATAACTATAAAAATATAAACAATTAAATCAAGATAGAAAATCTACAAAGGATAATGAAAATTTTACTACAAATTGAAAAATTTGAATTTTTTTGTCTTTAAACATTTGCAACTGATCACTCGTTTTCTCAACAAAAGCTACTAGATTATAAATTATTGAACATTAAAAGAAATTTTTATCAAAAAGTTTGTTCGTCTAGAAAACCAGCATAGGAAGATCTAAAGAGATTTCTTATGATCATATTCGAAATCAGCATGGTTAATAACCTACAATTCACTAACTTTCAGTGAGCAAGCAATCGATTAGTGGAAAACATTCCTTCATTAGTATTAAAATTTACAATGGAACCTTCTCTTGATGTCGTTTTCTGAGTTCAATGATTCTTTTTTTTTTGCCTATAGATACTATAGATAGTATTCTAATAAAAATCTTTAACAGTTGAGAATTGGTGGAGCTATTGAAATTTTAATATAGCTATTTGCTAAAACCTTCTCTATGACCTCAGGTGTTCGGAAATACTGTGAGTATTGAATTTTGTTTTGTAGCTATCTCCATTTGAAGGTCTCATAGGTAGTAGTTTGTCTGAAAAGTTTCAGAGTATGTAGACTTTATATCTTCGAAAAGCAAACTTTTCAAAATATTTTTGTATAGTTCATGACGCTGCGACAAGTATCTATTTTCACTCTTCATAAAAGCTATTGTTTGTGAAATCTTCATATGGAGAAAGCTTCAATACAAAATTTTTCTGAAAGAGCCTGGAGGATTCAGGCAAATAGACATAATAAAAATTCAATACCTTCATCAAATCTCAATTGAAACTTAAAATTTTTTAGAATTTTTATTAGAATATAATGTAATACCGACTGGCTAAAAATCATTGAAATTGGAAATAAACATATGGAAAGGTTTCCTTCGTTAGAAATAGTTTCTTTGTTGACTAACAATTAAGTTCATCACAATGCTCAATTAACAAATCCATTATTATATTTTACATTTTAGGTCTACAGACATAGACTGAAACACTTTTCTTAAATAGAACACTGAATTATCATATTATTTGATAAGTTACAATAAACTATTACTTTGAAATTATTAGTCAATAATAATGAACTATGTATATTCAGGATGATCCAAAAGTAATCCGGCAGTCTTTGATTGCGAATAACTTTTGATAGGAAGAAGATCGAGAGCTACAGTTTTTATCATTCGAATAGAGGAAATGAAGACGCATAGAACTGAATAATATAATTTAGGAAAAACAAAAATAAAAAATTTATATGAATGTTTTATCAATCAATACATTGAAAAATATTCAAAATAAGAATAGTAAATCTAGAAACAAGTTTTAAATAATAACTCACCTTAGTATCATCATCCCATATTGCTGAATATTCTTCGATATTATCGTTTAGTTCAAATCTATTTTCTGATATAGAGACTCTTGGTCTAATTGTTTCTGTTAGAACACGTGAAAATGGAGGATTATGTAATTTCGATGACGATTGTAATAAAGATGGTTTTGGTGAAGGTTCTATATCTATGATCGATGGCATTTGAATACTTTTATCGAATTTTTGTACTTTACTACGACTTGAACCTGAACCCATATTAATTGATACCACAGTTATAAAACTCTTCAATAAATACAAAGAAAAAAATAAGACTAATATTTAATCTAGAGAAATGAAGAATTTCAATGAACATTGAATTTGATTTTCGATTGTATCTATATTTGGCAATAAGTCAAATGTGTTTTACATTAACCTACCTTAGATAGATAATAAACTATTCAAAATTGAAGAAAAGTCTAAAATTCAAATTCAAATAAAAGAAAAAAAAAAGAAATCAAAACAATCGAGCAATTCAACGGAGAGCAAAAAGCTTTCAAAGTTTTTCCTGCTCTTTTAAAAATATGATTTTATTGATCGTTAGTTCACTGTTGAAATTATATTATACTATTAAAGCGTTAAATTTTTGAAATGAAAACATAAGTAGAACAATGTTGACAATTAACGGAAAATAGAAATTCCAAGAAAAAAAAAAGCAGTTTTCCGATTGAATATAATATTATTTTGTTTTTCTTTTAAACCTTGACAACATCCATTTTATGAATATACACAATCAAATTTCTCTTTAATAGGTGAACATCATCGAGACATTTGAAATGTGTTTGTTTATGGGGGCTATCATATACATATATATATATACTTTTTTCTACAACAAAATGAAAAAAAGCTATTCAACTTAATTTTGAAGTAATCAAAGGTCATTTTCTGTATTATTCGTCTTCTTTTATTTGAATAGTTACGTATTCTCAAATGTTTCAAAAAAAAATATAAAACTTTGTTTTGTTTCACAAAGTTGTATATTAATATTGTAAATTTGATGAACAATTTATCGCAATATATATTCAACAAGGTTTAGTATGTCAAAAGTAAACGCTCAGTATAATTTAGTATATGCAAATTATCAGATTATCAGTATAAAATTTAGTCTCACGAGAGTCGAAATCTATATCCATTATTATAATTAGTTAATTGTAATTTTTCTTTTGAACTTAAGGGAAGATGGTGTTGTGATGTCATTGTTTTAACTGATATGTACAATTATAACGAACAATGAACAGTAGTTTTTAGTTCATTAGTCAGAAATGATGAAGAGAAGAGTGAGAAAAAGCAGTTAAAATAGCAATCGAGGAAATAGTAACAAAAAAAAAATATTCAAGTTCAGAGTAGACAAATGTATGTCTATAGAAGATGCATTTAAATCACTACAATGAACCAAGATCTTCTTCGATAAAGTTTTATTGTATGAAATCACGAATCTTCAGCTTGATACGCCAATTCTTAATCTAATTATGTTGATAATAAAAAACAAAAAAGAAACTTTTGTATTAGCATGAACCTAAACACTATAATATATACTCATATCATTATGCAATCAATGAATAACATCCATTAATTTCCTATGATAGATTTTCATAATAATAAAATTTTATTTCAAGATATTTCATATTTTTATTTATTTATTTAACATTTGATTTTATTATATATATTTTTTTTTTCTAGTGATATGTATTTTATTCTTAAAGATCTTATTCAAAATGGAAGATATGTTCATTAATAGAAATTTCATTGTATAATGTATTTACATTATATTTTTGTATTAACCTATGACATTATTAAAGTATTCTTATTAGTAATATAGTCTATCAAGTTGACGTACTGTTTCTTTTTTAAGTATTTTTTCAATTCTTTTAAATGTATACGTGCGTAAGAAAAACAAAGATAATTTAAGTTTTTCAAGTTTAAAATATGTTGACTTTAAAAAGTAATTAATAGATGTTTATTTATTTGATAAACATAAAGATGTCAGTGTCCTCACAACACCCTGATACTCATACCTACATTCTGATTGCCATCTGATACTCAATGCTTTTAGATAAGCATCTAGTTTTGAGTAGAATGCCTTCTTCATTATTAAAGATTATGATGATACTAAAAGAATTATTTATCATCGGTTATTTTATAAGACTTTTATGTTGCTATATTTTAAAGTCAACTTCGACAGATATATTTCGAAGTTATTATTTTTTCCATAGGTTTGGAATTTTAGTGTTAACCTAATTAAAATGACACTTGTATTATAGAAGACATTTCTATGGACTATTTAGTAATAAATAAAAAGTTTGTCTGAAGTAAAATTAAATTTTAACAAAGTTACTCATGTATTTTTTAATTTAATATTGACGATTAATTAGACTTTTTTTTTATTATAAATCATTGAAGGTTTTTTTTTATTTCGTATAATTGATTATTAATAAAATCGAAATCTGGTTTTTTTTTCCAAGGATAAGATATGTTAACTATATACAAAAACAAACATCGGAAAATTTTATTGTGATTTTGTTGATAATTTTACAATAAATTCGTTCATTAAACATGACATCAAATTAGAATTGTTCATTTGAAATTTATCAAAAAAACAAAAACAGAAATATTTCTAAAATAATCATTAGTTTTCTTTTATCCTTGTAATCTTATTATTATAAAAATAATTCTAAAGTATGTTGATTATACTAGAAAAAAAAATGAATAAGTTTGGCGCATGAATTTCTTCTTGATTTTTTTTTTGCTTAAACAAAATTTGAACTTTGTTTTTCCTATTATTTCGATGATCGAAATAATTTTTCTTTAATCGATAATGTATTTTTTTATTGTATAATTCTAAATGTCTTCTCAACGTTCATCACCATTAATGCTTGTGCGTCCATTTCGTGTTCGTTTATCAATTTTAGATCTTCGAACATCTCAATCATCAAATACAAATGAAACATCAACTATAAGTCCATCATTATCATCATCACAACGTCGTTCAAATATTAATAATCCTCTTACACTTAAATTAAATGAATTTCTTATTGAACAAAATAAATATACAACTATAAAAAATGATTCAATAGCAATATCAGATCGAGATATAAATGATCGAGAAATAATTCAACGATTTCTTCATTCAAATAATGAAATTGAAGCAAGAAAAATTTTAGTACAAATGTGGAAAGAATCACGTTTTTGTGATTTAATGCTTGTTGTCGATGGAAGTGAATATTTAGCACATCGAATTGTTCTTGGTAGGATTTATTTAATAACAAAATACTGGTTTTTATACTTACAATCAAATATTTGTTTCAGCTGCATTTAGTCCAAAATATCGGTAAGAGAAATTCATATAATTATCATTTACAAGAGAACTCTTTCAACTAATAAATCGCTTTTGAGTCAAGGGTATGTGCATTATATAGACTCAAATGAGCTCAGACGCTAAACATATTGCTGTAGAGATACTGCACTTTTACAAGATTTTTTAAATGAATACCAAGATTCAGAAAAATTGATTTTTGAATTTCAACTTGAAACTTTGCATAGGGATGGGTTTTAATGAAAGTAGTTTCAGATTTTTTGATTTGTTTCTGTCTTGAAATAAGAACATTAAATCTGCCGATTTATATAAGTGATGTAAAAGACACACTATTATCATAGTTGTATCTTAGGATACGAACAACGACAAAATCTGAAACATTTACAAAAACTATTCTCGTTAAGACATGCCTCTATATAAAGTTTCAAGTCGAAATTTGAAAAATAATTTTTCTGATGTTTCCATGGGGCTCGACGGCATTCATTTCACAAACTTGTCAGTGCGACTTCATGAAGAGTCAAAAAGTAAAACTTATAATCTTTGACTCTTATTAATTTATGGTATACAGCCAGTGGGGTTACAATAATTTATTTTAAATAATGTCGAACCAATCAAAATTTTAACAATTCTCACGGTTGATATGCATCTTCTGAAATTTTATCATTTCGAAAATGTTTGCATGTAGAATTACTGTTCTATGAATTTATTTGATTCATTTACCGTCGTTATACTGAAAAAATTTATTTGTATTGTCAGATATATCTTCAACACATAACTTCTTTTCTTCTAATAATAGTATTTATATATGACACATGACATAGGAAGTGGCAAATATCATTTTATACTTCGTTTTGTCGGTTCAATCATTATATAAATCCGATATACGCATTGATTTATTTGTTAAGTAAATTTCTCAACACACTACCCTTTCTCTCGACGAACTTTGACATATACCGTTGAATTTTACGTAAACTTAGAATTCAATTAATTCATACTTTTCTATGTACACCCTAATCTGACTCTAGTAGATCAATAATTCCACTACTCTACTGATTGGCACCTACAATAAGATCTTTTCGCTACATAAACTATCAAAACCATCAATATTTAGGCTAGTTAGAATTTACAGTAGAACTTCTTAGATGCATAAAATTCATTGGAAGATTCTAGAAAGAATCAGAATGATCTAAGCACTGTTATTACTGACTCGCCTTTACCATAAAGACCTCGATTTAAACTTACACTCACTATTTTCTTCGATAATATATGTGAGTTTCACAAAAATACCATAAAAATACAAATATCAACGCAGCAATAAGTTAAGTTAAGGGTACCATCAACTCTTTTTGCGATACTCGTAGCTCAACATGATGCACATAGTCTCGACTCAAAATTGATTTATCAGTTGAACACCTTCCTTCCTTATTTTTATTTTTCTTCATTTAGGACATTTTTTCGTGAACGTCGTACTGATTTTGTTACACGTACTCATCTTCGACATACATCACATAAAGGTCTTCAACTTGTTTTAAATTTTTTATATACTGGTATTCATTTTATGAGAGAAAAAAAAAAGAAAGAACTCAAATATATAAATATATCTTCAGGTGAATTAACTTTAACATTTCGTAATGTAAATGATATTTTAAATTGTGCAAAAGAACTTGATATTGGAAAAATTTTTGAAATATGTGAAGAATTTTTATCAACATTTGAAAAACGTCATGTATTTCGTGTGCTTGAATTATCAAGACATTATGGAATGAAAAAATCTTTTTATGAATCACATTATTATTTATCAAAAAATTTTAATCAATGTATTAATATGAAAAATTTTCTTCAATTACCATATACAACTATATCAAATATATTAGCTGATGAAACAATACAAAATCGTGATGAAACAATTGTTTTAAGTCGAATTTTAAATTGGATTACATCAAATCATGTAGAAAATAGTCAAATTATAATGAATTTATTTAAAAGAATTCGATGGAATAAATTAGATTATGAACAACAACGAGAATGGTTAACAGCAAGTCATGAATTAGCTGAAAATTCAAAATTAACATCATTAATTAAAGAACAAATGACGTCAGTACAATATATTTTTATTAGAATCTTTAAAAAAATCTTTCTTGATAACTATAGAAAAAACACAAGGTACACTCTGACAATCGTTGACTTCACCGGATATTAAACATAAAATTGAAAAATTCGACTGTGTTTGCTTCTATTTTGAAACTAAACTTAGATTAACAACCTTAATTGTTGTAGCTTTATTGATAGTGGCGATAATCACAAAGTGAGATTGTCGTCGACAAGTTTTGGATTACAAAATTGATAAGTTTGACCAAAATCGATTTTTTTGCGTGGGTATCAGACATGTCCATGACAATGCTGCCGCTATGGCGATTGCGTCGCGTCGGCGGAAGTTTTTTTTCGGAAGAAATTTCAAAAATACATGAATTTTCACAAAATCTCGGTGTTCATATATGTGATACTGTAAGACTTAGCATATCTAGTTGATTAGCAGCAGCAGTTCTGGTTCAAACCAGTCATGACCTTGAAAATCGAAACATTTTTTTTTTGAATACCATTGCGGCAGCGGCAAGTTTTTTTAATAGAGTGTCACAGCGCGGTCCCGATGGACATCTATGAGGGGTATAACTGATCAATTTCAAAGAATTAAATAATTTCTTTTAGCAAGATGAAAATAAGAATTTTTATACCTAATTTTCTATCGATCATTTGATTATTTCTAATATCTTCAGCCCGTCTTAATTTGAAAATCATTCGATTTCATTATATGGATATTTCCATATAACTGAAAAACCATTTTAATTACCTTATGAAAGTTGCTAGAATATATTAATAATATTAGTCTATGGAACTAATCTGAACACTTGGCAACTACCTACAAATTCATATTAATTTTATGTATAAAGATTTTGTAGAAATTCGAATGCTTATATAAGTTCTACAAAACGCAAAGATTTCGAAGACATTTACATTCCTATAGTTTCATAGTTTTCACATATATTTAACATACATTTAATAAAATGCATTGATATTGTTAATTAATTTCTATTGATATGATAGAAGAAGTTCAAAACACGTATGTTTATAGCATCTACCAAATATAATTTTAAAAGATTTTGAAAATAATTTACAATGAAAGTATCCTAATTATTTCCTTGCTTTTGATCTCATATTTTGCTTATAAGTAGGACTCGATAAGATTAAGGCAGCTTTAAAACCATCGATATTTATAATCTGTTGATTAAAAGTTTCGATCGTCTAAGTAAATTTTCACAGATTTCGACAGCAAAATGAGATAAAAATATTTCAATTTGAAATTGTATTCAAAATTAGATCTTATTACTTTTTTTTATACGATTTCGTTATACTCTGATATGAAGTTCAATACAATGAATCCATTTTTTTTTTATGAATTAGAAATTTTTCAATATGTTATTGCTAATTATAATCATTGTATTTTGTATTCAAAAAAATTAAATTAATTTTACTTGTTTCAGTTTTGCTTATGAAAAATTTAATCGTCGTTCAAGTTCAACATCAAAACCAATTGAACAAAAACTAAATCTAAATGGTTCTGGTAGTCGTCAAACAAATCGAAATAGACATCGTTCTTAACTTCTTTATTCAGTTTCTTTTCTCCTCCATGTTTTTTTTTTGTTTCAAAATACGAAATATATCACTTATATCTCTATCTGCAGAACTTCTTTCAAAAAGAACAAAAAAAAAAAACGAGACCATCTGTGTATAAGTTTTAACATGGATTAAAATAAAGATAGACACAAAAATAAAAATAGAAATACATGTTTAATCAGTTAAAAAATAATTAATACCGAACATCATAACTGACAAACAAAAAAAAAAAGATTTAAAAAGAATCTTCTATAGGAGAATTTGATTGTATATCATTGGAATTAGTTGGTAATAATGGTGAATGTGATTTTGATATACCAAGTTTATCATCACTATTATTGAGGAAATCTTTTTTACGTAATACACGTAAACGTTCATTCTCCCGTTGTAAAACATCAATTCGTGTACATTCATTTTCTAATTTATCACTTATAATACGAAGCTACAATAAACAAATAAAAGAAGAAATTTCAAATAAAAACTTAATGCGAATGAACAAACAATCGAAAATTGCACATCAAATTTCTCATGCAGATTAGGGTGTGTGATATTTTTTGGAGGTGGAAGAAGGTAAAAATTCGGCAGAAAATGCTTTCATACTAGAAGTAGTCGGGAAGAAGGAGAAATTCGCTGTGACCTTGAAAGTCGAATATTTTGCCGAAGAAAGTTTCTTTTCTAATCGAAAATCCTGACGCAGGTGAATTTTACCTGGCGTAGATATCAAGTTTTGTCTAATGTATCATCTTTCCGTGTTTCTATCTGCTAAAACTATTAATAATTATCTTTATTGCAAAAAAAAAAACAATAAATGATATTTGCAAAAAGAAACAATTTTATTTTTATTTTTCCCTTACTTAATTAAGAACAACAACAATTCTATGATATTTAGTTGATGTGTTAAGAAATGAATAAAAAGAAAATTTACCTCTCGTTGTAATTGTCTTCGTTCTTGTTTTAATTCATCTTCAACACGTTCTGCATCATCTAATTGTTGTTTATATCGTGTAAGTTGAGCTTCATAACGTATATTCTAATTAAAAAGAACACTTATTCAAGAAATCAAGGAAATGAAAGACAATAGAAGATAAAGATTGTCTCGAATCAAAAAATTCATCAATGAAAAACAATTTATATGAATTAAAGCAAGAGTTTCCTAATAGTTCACAATATATTACTCATACAATAATCTCTTCAATGAATGCATTCCAAGATGTTGTATTTCTTTGAATGATCTCATGAAGGAACAGCCTGAAGTGATTCAAAGCTTTTATTTCGTTCACAAGTAAAGAATCACTCGATATTTCATAGTACATTTGTTTTATTTCAATGTACAGGTCTTTGTTTTTTTCAACTAAATTATAGTTTCTAGTTTTAATGTGAAACTTTGTTGATATCAACAATTCCGATTAGAGTAGCTTATATAAAAATTTCAGAACTTTTGAACATATCTTCCACGAAATTTGAGTGGATATATAATTTATCTTCACCGACAACGGTACAAACATCCACACCCTTAAAGATTTCTCTATGAAAAATCACAATTTTCATCGAAAACATCAATTTTGAGACTTTTGTATGGTTGGATTGCCCTCGTTGTCTACTTTCGGAAATAGTAAGATTTATCGATATTCTGATGGTTTTTCACAGGATTTATGATGGGGGTATGAATGAATAGGGCTAGTTTTGGATGGATGACATGAATACGTACACCTCATATGTTTTTTCTCTTCTAGATTCAGACTTTTAGACGCTGTATAAGTACGCGCTAGTCTTCGTTTGATTCGCCACAGTCGATAATACATGGTAGACTACGATCGATGTGTGTTCTCTACCGGTTTACTAACCAGAAACGGCAACCCGAGATCTTTATTATTAGATTTGGAGGAGAAATTTGAGACGCATGGAAATCTATTTTTTGACTCTTAATATAGAGATGATTCTTGAAGAAGTCAATATCTTGGGCTGAAATTGCTATTATAAACGTCCTAGGTCCTGGACCATATTTGCTAAAATTTTCAGGTATATTGGTTGTTCTGGAACGAAAATATCATGGTTATACAGATTTTTTTATCATATATCATCGAATGAATGCTTTGTCCATGGTTATGTCCAATGATAGAGAAATTTTATAATATCCTCGATTTATTGAATAATAGATGTTAAATATATTACTTCTTGTTGTAATGATCCATTATCAGCTGCTAATTGTTGTAATCGATTATTCAAATCAGTTATTTGTCTTATTAATTGTTCTATGAAAAAATAAAAGAAATTTAATTTCTCTGTTCATCAAAAATATTTTTGAATACTTTGTTGTTCACAATCACAAACATTATTTATATTTTGATGATGTAAATCGATTGAATTTGGTATTGATTCTTTTAGTATTTTTAAACGATTTTTTGCTTCATCTAATTCTAATTTTAATTTAATAATTTGTTCAAATTGTTCATATTTTTCATTTAATATTCTTTTTAAATTTTCATTAATCGATTTATTAAGAAGAGAATTAGATAATAGAAATGTTTCTCGACATTTGAAATCAATTGGTAAAATAGATAAATACTTTTGTTCTTCATCAGTATAAATTTTCATATCTGATTCCTATAAAAACTCATATGTAAAAAAAAAAGTAATAAAATCTTTTTCTTTTCCTAAATAATAAATTTACTTGAATTAATTTTTCACAATTAATTAAAATTTCTTTTAATTGATTATTATTCTCTTGTAAATCAATTAATGTTTGTTTTTGTAAATCAAAATCCTTATTCAATAAAAAACAAAAGTTCATCTATTTTAATAATTTGATAAATAAATATTACTTTGCATTTTTCTTTTAATTGTCTTTTAATTTGATTGAATGTTTCATAATGTTCATCTAATATATCTTTATATGTATCAACTTGATAATGTAATGCTTGTTTTTCATTATACATGCTTGAATTAATAATCATTAAAGATTTATATTTTAATTCAAGTTCACTTAATAAACGCTGTAGAAATTCAAATAAAAAACATTCTGAAAAAAAAAACATCAATTATGAAATATACGAACTCTTAGATCACGTTGTTCAAGAGAACGAAGGTCAATATCACCATTAAGAAATTTTTGAAGTAACAAAGAATTTGTATTTGTTTCTAGTGTACCATTCATATTCATCATTTCAGACTAAGAATAATTTTTAGGTTGGTTTTTTTTCCTTCAAAAAATTTGTTTTTGACTTTTTACTTTATTTGATCCTATTGATGTCGATGGAGTAAGTGGAATCGTTAGTAGATCTTCATCATCGTCCTAAATGATCGATTTACTTAGTGTTTATTAAATATAGAAGATTAAAAAATTTACATCTTGAGCATTTTTTTCTAATTCTTTATGTCGAATTTGACGTGCTTCACGATTTTGTTCACGTTCATGTTGAAGACGAAGTTCAGCCTTTATAAAAATATAGTTAATAATCAAAGATAAAGATAAAGATAAAGATAAATGCAAACTTCTTTTGCAATATCATCGAGAGCATATTCTTCAGTAAATGAACTATTGATTTTATCATAAATTTTAGTTGGTGTTGAAGTATCAGTTGATTCTCGATATCGACTCGTCGTTGAAGAACTCATTACATTATTCTTTTCAAAAATTATAAATAATTTCGAAGATTTATAAAAGATTTTATCAGATATTTTAATGAAAATTTCAAATAATAGACAAAATAAATGAAAAGAAACACTGGATAATATTTTTAAGAATAGATAGATAGTAAGATTTAAATGATTTTATTGGTGAAAGATCCATTCATTTTGACTTTCTAAAAACTCTGAAACTTTGATTTTAAAATTTCAAAGATAATTTGAAAAGAAATTTATAACAAAAAACCCGCTTTGATGTGTATTGTTTACATTGAAATAGATGTCACTTGTTAATGATTAAATAAATGAAATTTCATTGAAATATATCTTGAATATCGTTTTCTTTTGTCTTATTCTTCATTTAATGTATATTTATTTGTCAATCGTACATTCTTGTTACAGTATCATTTATTTTAATGTAAACCTTCATTTAAAAAAATGATATCTTTTTAGAGGACATATCAATAAAAAACCTTGTTTCGATGACCCATCTTTACACTTTTATTCTTTAATGGTTTGTATAACAAGTTGAAACATACATAAAATCAAATTCATTTATTCACTTAACAACGTCTTGTCATGTATCAGCAATGGTCACCATACCATTATGCACGTCATTATTCCTATGTCAATTATGATCGACGACAACGATTGTCTCTTAAAGAAATTATCTGGCGTCGTCTATGGCCACGTATATTTACTGTAGTATTAGCATCAGTGATGCTTCTACTTATTATAATTATATTTAGTCTTGAAGTTGCAAGTTTAGCATCTGATCCTTCAAATAATTTGTCTAATACAGCATCAACAGGAGCTGGAATTTGGTGTTCAATATTCTTTGTAATACCTGTTATTTTTATGTATCTTCTGGGTAATTTCAAAAATTAATTTTTCAATAATAAATATTTGTTTGTCTTTAGTATCTATTTATCATAGGTCACGCATGTGGTCAACTTATACTCTTATAACACATTTAATTGCACTTGTATTTATTTGCATTTTGATTGGATTAGATGCAAATACAGTTACTCCTTATAATACAATGGGAGCAACAGCTCCAACTAAAATAAAAATTCTTAGAGGTCAATTAGCTGCGGCAGTATTAATGTTTATTTTTCCATTTAGTTTCTTAGCTGCTTATATTTATACAGCATTTATGTCAATTGTTTCTCTTCGTTCTCATCCACGTTCAATTCATCCGCCTTTTCCAGTTCCATCAGATTTTGTTAAATATTAATTTCTATATTTAGAATAAAAATGTAATAGGCTCAATTATTGACATATCATCAGTATAAAGACGTGTTAAGTTCACTTCATATATATATATATATATGTTTTTTAAATTAATTTTTAATAAAATT